CGCGACTCATCTATTAACAATAATGTTGTTAAAAGCTGCTCGTTAACATCAGCCTTAGCTAATGCTCAATATGAAAGGGTGACATAAAGTGTGGCCATTTACTCACATTTACTTTCATTCATTTAACATCAGTCACTGCTGCATGAAGCCTTGGTAATTAAATTTGATGAATCAGATGTTTTTTTCCCCTAGAATTGCAGGTTCCAGTTGTCACCATGGGATGGTGGGTATGCTGTAGCTACGTTGTTGCCTTATTCTGAAAAAAATATATTTGCAAAAATTACCGGTGACTTAAGTGGTCGTGACATGCTGGTTTTTTTTCTTCTTTTAACAAGCTAATTACAATGCTGTGTCTGCATTTGCCTTAAGGATGACTAATTTTTGCTACAGTAAATTAAAGGTCTTATTCTACCACTCTATCCTTCACACTACATTTTCTTTTAAATAATGCAAGTCTGCCATTCTTATTGCATTACTTTTTGTTGAGGCTATTCATGATGTGTGGGTCTGGTTTAACAGAGAGCATTAGCCATAACTCAGAAAACCTTCTGGTAATAAAAAAAAAAATGTAATCTCCGGCTAAGGGGAACAATCATATCTGTCCTTGATACCAGGAAATGACATCACCATCGTAACTGACTCATGTTGACTTAATGAGCTCTGCCCATTTGCCACTGTACACTTCAGGCTACCATGCATTGTGCCTTTATAGTGAAGATCACTATAAACATTGGAGATGGCAGGTTATTGTGGATATAAAAGTGAGTGATTACAGAAGAAGACGGATCTGCAAAGATTGTATGACCGAGGCTCATGCCTATGGGAAAAAAACAGCACTGATTGTTTTTAAGCTGAAATGTTTCTTTTTAACAAGTCATCTGCCACCTGAGCCCCTGTCCTGTGTTACAATTAGCATTTAGATCACTAATATTAAAAAGTTGTTTAGAATGACCTGCCGCCACTTGGCACTCCAGAGACTTGCATTCGCTCTGTCTCCTAATCACGGATCTCCACCTTCAACAACCATCAGCCTTAGTCTGTTTACCAACCACAACCAATTTAAATGACACGTCTCAATTTCCTAAAAGTTGGTTAGTCACTTGGTAGCTTGTTAGAAATGGGGCAATCGAAGCACCCATGCCATGTGTGAAACGGGACAAAAGAAGGTGCACACGTTCCAGCAAAATCTTGTTTGCCATAGTTTGGATAGACAGTACTGCAGAAGAATTCACAGCACTCACATCACCTTACACAGATTTATTTCATAGGTTTGAGAACCAAATCTACAGCCAACACAACATAAAAGTGGACAACCATCAAACGGCAAGCAATGCAAATACCCCTGAAACAGAAAAATACTCCTCTCTCCTGGTGGATTTTTGCTGTTACATCCATTGCTGCTGTTTGTGGGTCTCAAAAACTGTTGCATGTCACAGTAACAATTTGGCTTCACACGTTTCCTGCAAAGAGAATGACTGTCGCACAAGAGCACAATTTCATGATTGTCACTGACTCCCTCCTATCCAGAGAAAAGGCAGGGCTGGAGTAGGGCGGCGACAGACATGATACGGAGAGAGAAAAGACCATCAAACGGTAACTCCACCTCACAGCAGTTAGGGTCTAATCACTGGTACTCGAGTTCTGCTTCACAGAATTACGCTGACAAGGCATTCAACACTGCACCACACCGGAGGGAAGAACTGAAGAACATCCAGTTATCTTTTCAGGTGACCTTCTGATCTGAAGTGGCTTCTCTGTCAGACTAGTTAACTTCTTTTAATCCAACCTCCTCTACTGATTGAGAAGGTTTTCAACGCATCACCTCTTTACTTAAAAACCTACACCTTTCATGAAATCAGCTCGAAGAAAAAAAACGTCATTCTTCACACCATGCAATTTCATATTCAAAACTGTACAATTCCGACCAAATGTTAACATTTGGAAAAGTATGTATTCAATGGCATTAAACTGACAATGCATCAGTCAGCTATTTACTTTGCTGACCGGTTTTCATCTGTCAATAGTGGGAATGAGAGCAACAAACTGATGGAAGACGAGGCAGCCTCTTGTCCAATGCCCCAAATCTAAGAAGGTTAATAAATGTTTAACATACAGTCTTGGGGGAGTCATGAAGACAGTAGCTATGGACCAGCTCTAATGATCGGAACTCTTCAGTTTGCTGTTGCTTACTTTGCAGACTCCCTGATGCTCAGGAAGTGGGCTTCCATTAACATCTATGCACGATGCCCGTGTTTACCATTAAACCAAATACCCAATACCATTTCAAAGGATGCATCATACAGATTGCTGCAAGAAGGACTAACACTTTGGGCTCAACAACAGAACGAATGCGTAATGAATTATGACAATCCCTTTCTTATGTTAATTTAACCCTTTACTATGTACCTTCGGGGGTGTTTTTCGATGATTTCGACAGCTGATTGACGAATCGTGATCGCTGATTTCATTCGGTGCAATGCAACAACAAATGATGGTAAATAAACATTAAATCCCCACATAATTTACAAGACAGAACGTGTTCCTTTGAAGGCGTCCATCCGGGATCTTTAAGCCTAAGCAGGTATCCTCAGAGCGCAATGTCCTGGAAGCTGGGTACTCAAAGGTGCATGGCAGGATACAAGTGCATCTAGGTCCCTGTTACCATAGAGACCGGTATGTCAAGAGAGGAACGTTTATGCTCCAGCGGGACCCTACCAACCCCCACTGCCACCTGTGGCCACCGGTACCCTTTTAGCCGTCTATTCTTCATCCATGTTTCCTAGGTGAGAGCTTTGCGCAAGAGGGGGGTTCTGGAAGGCTTCCAAAAAACAGGTGGAGGGAGGGGCCTTTGGGGGCTCCTTAAGGACTGAATGGGCATATGCTGACCGACAAAAAGACACATGGGGTCCATTTGTTTTTGGCAACACTACATATGAAGGCAGTTGCAGATTCATTCAGCATGAGAATCAGTGTGGCCAGTGACAAAATTCATGTAGAAACATTCTATATCACGCAGGCTTGCCAACTTTGGTCAGTGGGCTGGAGTGAGATTTTCAATTCAATTACCCGGCAAATAGTCTGGATCAAACTCTTTTGATGTAGCTAATTTTAGCGTTATAATGGAATAATATAGATTTGGTATAGGATTTCTTGCAGGAGCATGAGTCTGAAAGCGTGAGAGTTGGCAACCCGGATAATGTTATGAAGACATCTAGTGCAATAAACAGGCTTAGTTATAGTAGTAACTATAATGGAAAAACGTATAATAAGGTTTTTCCTCATCACTTCAGTATTTTCTGTTTAACTGGAAAATAATCAAATAGTACCAGAATACTTCACTGCATTGAACACACAATTTTTTTTTGTTAAATGCTAGTCTTGTGTGGCCAAAATGTTCAGGTTTGTGATCCGACTGAATGAATGACTCACTCACTTCTGCAATGTTTGTCTGCATATGTGTGAGGGTCAGGTATCAACTGTTAGTGACATAAATCTGTGCGATCAAATAAAAAACAGCCAGAGAATTTGTCACCTTGTCAATACATATAAATTAGTGGATGGGGAGGGTTGATTCACTAAAAAAAAAAAAAACTACATGAACCTCCAAGTATAAATCACAGCAGGTAACAGAATGTAAAGTTATTTAACAGATAGCTATTAGCAATACAAGCGTAGTTTGTTCATTGTAAAAGAAAAACGTTTTCATACACACAGGACGAAAACCCAGCCAGTGACAATATCTGAATATGAAAAAACTCGTCAACTTTTTGAGGTGAATATTTAAATATGTTCAAATTATCGTATTCTAATACTAATATATCTTTATAGCAAACTTCGTTGTTTATATTCACGGTTACTTCACACATTAATTGATATCTTACTTAATTGATAAGCTATCAATTAATGATTACTTGAAATTAATAATTTTAGGTAATATTACTAGTTTTTCTTGGAATCCAGCTAAATTTGGTGGCATATCAATTAATGTATAGTAACTGAATTAACATTAATTAACTGATAATCTGAGTGAAGTAATCACATAAAGCAATAGTGATTTCATCATTAGTTCATGGTGAGCAACAGGAATTCATGATACATCTGGGATTCATTCATGTAGTAATTCATCATTAGTTAAGCATTACTTAAGTAAATGATTTGTACCCTTATTAACCTGTAAACAGCGAGCCACAATTAATTTGTGAGTGGGAAGGGGGGGGGGGGGGGGGGGGGGGGGGGGGTCGTGGACAGGTGGTGAGCTGGCAAAATGGCAAAAAATTTGACAGCTATGCTATTAATTACATTCAGTGTTTCCCAAGACAGTCCATGTTTTTGCACCCTCTCAGCTCCTTATGAGGGAATAAAAACGCGGACTGGCTATGGGTCCCCAAGGAATGGATTGAGAAACACTGATTAAATTTAAATATGCAGAGAGAAAGGGGACTAGCAGGGTTCAAGTAGAACAGTGGTCTCTAACGGTTTTTACAGTGAGAGCTACTTTTACAAAGAAAATCTGGGGAGCTACAGAGTGGCAGTGGTATATTTTGCTGATCAGTGGGGGCCCCTGGAGGGGGAGGGCATGAAGGTCTCATGATCAATTGACCTCATGACTGACAGGTTGGTGACCATCACAGTAGATCAGTATGCAAGCCTGTCGGACCACTGATCCCGCATAGTTACCACGTCAGCATCTCTACTATCTCCACAAATGGATCGATCAACCTGGTATTTATAGCAAAGTGATTTGTCAGTCCAGCAGAGTACTGTATCCCAGAGAGGCGTGTGACTTACTTTGCAATTACTGCAATCTGAAATCAGGAGTAATCTCCATATCATCAGGGAGATTTACGTATTTACATGAATGAACTTCCTCCTTTAACTCAAACATTTCATGATGTTTCTTTTAACTAGCATTTCACACAGACACTGAAAGAGTCCGGTGTTTTCATTTTAGCAGCAAAGTAATGCATCCATGGATATAACAAAAAATCACAGATTCTGTGTAGGTAAAAATGCACAGTATTATTGTTAGCCTTAATTGCTAAGTGCTAAAATCACTAATACTGCACCAGATGGGCACACCAGAGTACAGGTTCATTAGCGAGTGCTAACATATGGCAGGACAAGGAACGCACCGTGTAGGGATGACGGATTACTGTACATTACATTCTGGAAATAAGCTTCTGTGGCAATGAGGAAATATGACTGAATATCAGTCCTAGTAGATATTCAGGTCTTACGATGGTTTCTTCTTCCTTCAGGATGAAAGTGCGCATTGGAAGGCTAAGACACGGGGGGTATTGAACACAAACGACAGAACATCACCCGCACCCACAAACATGCACTCACACAATGTGCCATTAACTTCTTCGATTCCATCTCCTGCTTCCATGATCCATCTGGCCCTTGACAAAATCCAAGTTCTCAACTATCAGGTAATGCCACCATTTCTACTTCAGATTTGCCCCTTTTGCTACCCCAAGCCCCAAGTGAGGGGGCCTACATGATGGAGCATGTGAACCCACAGCACTCTTTCAGAAGCGTGAGTCCGGTCTTGGTGACAAAGGGAGAGGAAGTTTGCTGGGCTCTGGAGGTCACCCTCCGGTCCTGACCGCCACCTGGAGAGAGATTACCTTGGTCAGAGAGTGTGTCACAGGAAGCCATGTAAAACATCCGTAGCTTTAAAAATGACAGTGGACTGCAGACCAAACCTCAGCAGACTACAATGCTAAGAATTAAACTATTATCTCCTTTCTTGCACTGGAAATTATTTCACCATGAAAAAGTGTTAAAGGTCCTCCACGTTTTAATCTGGCGGTTCGGTGACAATGTTTACTCGTAATGAAGTTTAATCACTATGACAATCACTCCCCAACAGTTCCCTCAGACGGATTTTGTATTAGAAGAGCTGGAGACTTAAGGCATGGCTACGTGGAAGGCGGGAGGCCTGAGGTCTCCACGGAAAGGAGTTATGGATACACCTACTTCTGTTCTTCAGGCTTTTCGGGAACTTGGATTGCAAGAAGTCGGCCATCTCTTTGTCCTCCTCTCTCTCCCTGTGGGAGGTAAGTTAGTGATGAGAGAACAAAGGTACAGCTAGACATCTCCCCTACGTCTTGTTCCATCTGTCACTTCAGAATAAGATGATTAAGCAAAGATTAAAAATAACACTAAGGACTTCAAAGATAATCATTTTTCCTTCTTTGTGTGTATCTGTGGCTGTGTGTCATGCATGTAACTCATAACTCGCTGGTCCTTTACAGGTAGTCAAAATCCACTCTGCTAATGCCCTTCTATCTCCCACATTGCTTTGCTGCTGGCCTTCCAGGAAAAATATTAGTGTAGACGCTCTCAGTAATACTCAGTGCCCAAGGCCATAGAGTAGGGGAGTGGTGATGTTCTACACGAGGTACATAGGTACAGTGAGAAGCACAGGCCTTTGCGGAAAGAGATGCTCTCTACCCAGGCCGGATGTAGCCTCAGAAGGAAGCGGCTTCCTATTCAGGCAAGCGAGTTGGTGTGTGGTCCCTTTGCTCTTAAACCTGTGACACACTTCATCCCCACTCATTACAGAAAACATTTCCAGTTGTAGATTGTTGGTAAATTCATACAGTGACTGAAAAACAGCATCGTCAAACATGCAATTATCCTATTTAAATTTTCACAAACTATTATCACACATTACTCTACCTGTCTGGCTCCGCTCACCTGAGCCTTTCGAACTCCACGTCGTCCACCAGGAAGTCCCTGGTCTCCACCAGCTTGTGGAGCTGCTGCAGAAGCTCTTCCTCCTTTGCCCTGTCTTCTTTTGTCTTGGCTTTATCTGTAATGGGTTTCACACCGACCGATAGTGCCAGGTCACTATCTGGCTACTTTATGCAAACTAATCAATAAAAACAAAGTTAATGTAAGGAAGCTACACAGCACAACAGAAAGTTTCATTTTACAATAATGTGGCTTTTTAACATTTCTTAGACCAGGGTCCCTCAAAGGCTCCTTAGATCAGGTCCAGTGGCCCCCACCACTGATGCGTGACCACATAAAAAAAACAAAGTTAATGACTGGGGGGAGGGATTTTTTTCACTCTCAGTGCAGACTGGGGGTTATACTTTTTCATATTGCATAAAGCAGATGACAATACCAACATTTTGTCAAGTTACGATATTTCTCTGTGGATCTTGCGTAAGTGCTCAACAGACTCCCAGGTTGAAGCCATCTGCACTATGACATTGAGTCATTCCTCCCCAGCTGCTTGTGCATTAAAGGGTCATGGTGAAGCAGGAGCCATGGTGAAGCAAGCGGCAGGGGACACCCTGGATGGGATGTCAGGCCATTGCCGGACACAGGCCGGGGGACACCCTGGATGGGATGTCAGGCCATTGCCGGACACAGGCCGGGGGACACCCTGGATGGGATGTCAGGCCATTGCCGGACACAGGCCGGGGGACACCCTGGATGGGAAGTCAGGCCATTGCCGAGCACAGGCCGGGGGACACCCTGGATAGGAAGTCAGGCCATTGCCGAGCACAGGCCGGGGGACACCCTGGATGGGAAGTCAGGCCATTGCCGGGCAAATGCTCACACATGCATGCACACACTACGGAGTCACCAAATCTCCTTAAGTGCATGTCTTCGGATTGCTGGAGGAAACTGGAGTAACTGGAAGACATCTGGGGGGGAACTTGGAAATTCCACAGACATGGAGGTATGAGCACAAACCAAACACAGAGAGCTCCCTACTGCCCCACACTGCAGTTTACAATAACAAAAAAAGGTTTAGCTACTACAACTAATGATGCTCCAGTTGTTCTCCATTTTGCCCACGGGGAGGACATTGGACACGTAGTAGCCCTCAATCTGATTATTTTTAAAAACATTCATGCACTTCAAGGCTATCTCACAAAAAGACAGTTCACAGTCAGCACTGGATCTATCTTTTCAGCGGTCCCATTAGTTGGGAGGTTTGCCTACCAAGAAAACTGATGATCATTTCACTTGCCTGTAATGCCGGCCTTATATATAATAAATATATTTTCATGATTGTGTCTGGGCCCTAGGCTGCTGCCTGGATCCGGCCCTGCATACAGTGTCTTCTATCAGTCACTGTACCAGGAAAGTAAAGAGGTGAAGCTGTACAGTCCCATTGTGATTTTTTTTTGGTCCAGTTTTCTAATATTTATGTTAGTTACATTGACAGCAATACTGCTGTAGCATTTTGACGACCGTGATTAAGTTGTTTCAAGAACAGCATCAATGAGGAAAAACAGAAATTGATTCCGAAATGGCAAGGTGTTGATACACTAAAGATCAAGATTAAAGGAACAAACCCAGAGGGACACTGCTGACTGAAGGACAGTGTTTTTCAGAGCGCACAACTTCCTGTCATAGCGGAGTGAGCCTGTCTCAATTCGATCGCGGTGACCTTCAAAACACCAGCTAATGGAGATAGAAGAATTCCCAGCACTACCTGGAATAGACACCAGTTTCTGTAGCTCCCTTTTAAGTCTTGTTATTTCCTTACAGAGTTGGATATCATCCATCCTGTAGAAGAATAAAAAAAAAACACAGTTTAAAACATTTAACTGTAACAGCTAGAGATAAGTGTGGTTCAAACCACAACCAAAACAGCAAACTACAAACTGCACTACAAAATAAGAGGACAAATAAATAGATGTTTTTGTGACATCACTTGAGGCACCATCGCACATCAAAGAGGCAATCATGTGTAGATGAATGAACTGGGGGGGGGGGCACCAGGGGGGTAATTAAAACCCCTTGTGTGTCTTTTGGATATCAGCCCTCTCTTATGACTCATATCGGGCAAGCAGCTGCCGATGCAAACAATGCAGTGCGGGAGATAAGGGACCCCAGCCAGCCCCCCCTCACCAAGGATGAGTCATCAGCAATTGAGGCTCACAAGGATGGTGGTGGGGGTGTAGGGGGGGGATGTTCGCTTAACGTGCGGGGGTGGACACAGCTGCTGCGGAACGTTTCACTGCGACACGGCAGCTAAACTGTCAGCAGACCAACGGCCAATCAGAAAGCGATCCATAAAAAAAAAAACAGGAAAAAATATATATCCGCGATTAGACTGTATTAAGTGAAAAAGCCCCCCCCCCCACACACACACATTTCCTTTCAAAGGACTGAAACAGCTTCCCAAACACTGGAAACTGTGGAACTGACTCGTTAGTTTCATTTAAATTAAATCTCTGACAGCAGCAGTTCCGCGGGTCACAGGATCCATATTTTTTCACAAAAATGCCAACAGGGAAACTGCAATTTCTTAATAAACCTACAATACCCCCACAAGCACAGAAATCAAAGCTAATTTTCAGCCAGATTCTCAGAAAAGGAATTTTCTTTGGAATGTGGTTTAATGCATTTTCATTCATTTCATTCGTTGGTTGTGCATCAAACTTGAATGGTTCTGCAGTAAAAGATCAATGCGGCCTTATTATGTCGCTTTTTCCTCCCAGTTAATTACCATTGGTTGTGACTGACTATACGCACTCTAAGCAGACATAATCAAAAGAACAAGAGAGTAACAAACAGCAGCATTCCGATCTGGGCACACGGCATAGGGCATTATGACATACGGCATAAACCAGCACAGACAACAAAACAGGTCGGCTCATTATCCGCTCAGTCTCCCACATGCCTTTTCACATGTGGGACGTTTTGCTCAGAAGAAGCGCGGCTCTCGTTGGCTTCAGTCTGGTAGGACAACCATGCTGAGAGTAAAAAACCACCGCAGTCGGTCGCAGCTGAGGTGCATAGAGCTAAGAAGCGGCAGGAGGAACGATACAGGGCGTGGTGCGAGTGGCGGAGTCGGGGTGAGCTGGGGGCCATCGCTCGCCGTGCCCCACTGGATGCTGAGGTGCCGAAACGGCCCGGCCTTCACCCGCCGCGGCACCGGCGCTCGCTTATGCTGAGGTGTCTATGCTGCCAGCCACCGAAGACTCACTATATCGCAAAAAAAGCAGAAGGATGTCATGGAAAAGAGAAAGACCAGCGAGCCATGGAAACGGCTCCACAAGAAGGCTGTTACTGTTAAATTAGGCCTTTTAAAACACTAGATCTAGATCTTCCAGGTTCAGAACTCTGTTTCACCCTGAGAAGAACCATTGGAGGAAACAATCTGTTTTGTTCCTTTCTGCCCATTTGCCATTCACATGCCATTAAAACACTGATGTTCCAGGCAATTTGTTAATCCAACGATGAAGATTTCTACAGGGTTACATGCCTCTTGGCTGCACCCCTCCCCCCCTCACACCTCCATCACCTCCTTCGCGATGGCGACTTTTCTTTTGGCCGCGAGTAATGCTCCTTAATCATTATTCCCCCTGCTGATCTGCAGTGTTTGATCCTGCCGCTCGCGTGGCAAACAGAAACAGCGATTTTCTCAGAGGTTCTTCGTGCCACAGCACCAGCAGAGCGCAATTAGCATGTGCCCTCAGACCGGCTTCTCCGGAGACGGCGCTGGTCTGCTGATGTAACGGCCTCCTCCTCCTCTGTCGGCTCATCTTCCCACACGTCCATGGGACGGGGGTCGCAGTCCCCCCCCCCCCCCCCCCCCCCCCCCCGGCCACTGCCTCATGGACATTTATATTGAAATCGCAATTTCGTAAGAAAATCTTTATTGTATTTATCCACTTTAATTTACGAGACGCTTTGGTCAAATGCGACGTACAAGTCATGGGATTACAAACGGCAACGAGTTAACACGGTTAACGAGTGTGTTAACCTGCAGATCCACATGCCTCTCCTCACTTCACGATGGTTCGATTTACCGTATTTTTACTTCATGAAGGTGCGATAGCGATGCACATTCAGTAGACAGCAGAGCTTGTATTTTGCTCTGCTCCTGGGCAGTGACATGCCGTACGATCATTTCTACTTGTCAGGCGATAGCAGCATCTATGTATATTCTACAGTGATGGGTATGTGGTTAACAGTGTTTAACAAAATATTTACGTATTCAGTGACAGGTGTTATTTACCATACCGTATTCATATCCGACTTAAGATTTTTTTCATATTACGATGGGTTCAATCCAACACAAACCCATCGTAAGATGTGGAGCATCTGTATATGATTTGTGTTTTAATCCCAACAAACGTCAGGGCTCCTTTAAAAACATGCCTGTGTCACGCGCTACATTTGACACCATGAAAACACTTCTCAGGCGAGTAAAGAATCTACCGGAAAGCGCCCCTCCCGCCCCACCTGCTCCTGCGTCATCGGCGGAGAGGACATAGCGCTCACATGTATCTCAGCTCCGACTCTCTCCTCACTAGGATGTCCCGGATCCGCTCAATCTTGAAGAGCTCCCCCTCGATGTCGTCTATCGTGATGGAGGAGTCGGCCATAGAGACGACGTCTTCCTCCTCTGTAAGAGAAACATAGGTAGGTGGTGTGATGGGTCACTCATATGGAAGATTATTCATTCCATAGCCATGCACACACCGGAACAGCAACATCTGTCCCCTCAGACTAAAACAGCTAACCACTATGCCACCTGCTGGCCATTTAGTATATTAAACATATTACATTTCACAAAAATGTCCAAGAATCATTAAACTAAATACGTGTTTGAAAATGACTATTTAACAAAGAGTTCCCTCCATTTAAAATATAGGAGAACAGGGATGGTGTGAAGGGGCAGATCCATTTCCCCATTTGATGTAGACTGTTGTGAATCAGTCCCATCCTGAGATTTAAGTGAGTCAGAATCAGAATCAGAATCGGACTCGGAATCGGAATCCGAATCCTTTTTATTAGCCAAGTGTGTTTCCATACAAGGAATTTGCCTTGGTGGTGCTTTTAAAAGACATTACAAAAAACATACAACAGTTAGCAAAGGTATGTACAGAAAAGTAATAAACACTAGGCGATTGGGTAATGTGATAATTATATGGTAATTAAGTCAGGATTCAAGTGAGCTTTTCAGAAATTAAACTCGCCTTCATCTCCATCTAGTCCTACTTCCCAAATAAATTACATTTATATAGCAGATGCTTTCATCCAAAGTCACACACAATTGGGAAGACGGGGTCAGACAGTCCCCAGAGGGACTGGGGGTTAGGGGCCTTGCTCAGTGACATCACTCTGCTGACCCCGGGACCGTCCAATCATGGGCACAGTGCCCTAACCTGCAAGCTACACGCTGCCCCCAGAAACGTGGTTCTAAAGATTCTTGAGAGCCAATCCACAAAAAAAAATAACCTAATACAAAATGCAAATGTAGCCATTAATCATAATAATCTTAAGAAGGAGTTTTACATTTTAATTCCCACGATGCTGTACTGGATAAGCAGGAGATTAAATTTAAATATTTAAATATTCTAAAGAACCTAGACACATCTGTGACTTTCTCGCCATTTGGTGTTCTGAATATTAATAATTTAGCAAAAGCCACATTCTTTTTACTGAAATAACGCAAACAAGACCCCATGTTCAGATTAAAGAGACTGATGGCCTCATCCTTGTCACTCACTGATTCAATACATATCATTGGCTAATGATAAGGTTGGCCCCTCTTTATAAATTCTGGCCCCTCACCATTAAAAAAAAAAAAAAATCTTAAAATCACCATGCCCCAGATGTGAAGGCTCATTACCCACAGGTAATGTCGCAAATGTTTTACAGAAGGTTGCCCAGACAGGATCTAGGCATCCTACTCCATGCAGCCACTTCCTGAGCCTTCTGTCATACTCACACCGTGCTCAACGTGAGCGGAGCCGCGTTGCCATACTAACAGATACCTACAGATCCCCAGCGATGTGGCTCATCTGTTAGTGTCACAGTGCTCACATTCATTCAGACGCAGAGAGCTACGAGTCCCTCCGTGACAGAGAAATCCACGAGTCACGAGTGTTTATTGACGTGTGATAAGTACAATCGTTAGAATATTCATCCCGAGACGGCGACAATAAGCATGAGATTTCATCTATCACAGACCTTTCCGAACCTTGGTCAAGCTGGAGGTGGAATGAGGGGGAGAAGCTTCTTGGCTGAAAATGACATGGAGCCAATTTGACGTCTCCAGCTGCTCTCTGCTTTGCCTTCCTGGGTTGGGAATTTGGGTGTTGGGTGGGAACTGGGGTTTGAATCGCATCAGAGGTCTGAGGGGGAGGGGGGATGTTCCCTGAAGGGTAATCCCACCATGAAGTGCAACAAACAGCCAAACCCCCCATGTCCGTCTGGCATTGAATGAAACCGTAGGTCTCCGGTAACAAGCCACAGCAGAGTTTACTTTGCATGTCGGCTGTGAGACCCGGTTCTGGTACCACGTATGCCCCTGTGTTCACCTTAATTGCCGTGTCTGGGGAGATGTGCAAGAACACGCAATAGTGACCAAACCTATGTTCCCACGCACAGCAGAGGGGGGCGGTGGCCGCAAAGTCTCGATCGTCTGGTGGGCAGAACTCCGCCTGAGGCAAGTATTAATTACTGACGACCTGCCCTCCCGCGGCACCCCCGCTCGGTGTGTGGGTTCGAGCCCTGGGGAAGCTGTCACACAGGCTGCCACCCACTGCCCTGCTCCTGAAACAGTTCATCCCCTCCCAAAGGGAAAATAAACACACTCCACCTGTCGCATCTGCGTGTGTCAGAGCAGAGCTCAGGAATCATGTGTGCAGCCCAGCATCCACAGTCCTAATCATCTGCATGCTTCTCCGCACTGAACTTTTAAGGCTGATTTTCAGTATATATACACCTTTGTTCCCAAGGAAGCTTTAAGTATCTGCTGCTCAGCGGGACTTTGCTGGCGTTACCCAGGGGATGAGGGAAGCCCCACGGGGAACCCCACCAGGGAGTAACTGCTGCCCATCACGCTGGATCTGACATGCACTGATCCTGAGGCAGCTCTCCGGGTCAGAGGTACCAGATGAGGGGCATCCTCTTGGCTTTGTAGGAATGGAGGGCGCTTACCTTACCTCTGAGGTAAAGGCCATGCCATCAAGGGTCATTAGGGACATCAACAGTCTTTAAGATGATGGAATAATGGCTTTTAATTGCACCTTTATTTTCAAATAAGTTATCCCTTTACAGTAAGAAAAGAACTTAAATAGAGGCAGCCAGCTGTACTGCTCAGAAAAAGCCGTACTTAACACTTGGCTGATGTTAGCAGTCTGGGGTCTCTGAAAATTCTGGTCTTGTCATACATATATAGCTTAACACAGACCCAAGACAGACAGAGACAGACAGCTGGTGTGTTTCTTGATATGGTAGCTGGCCTTGCACGCAAGAAGTCCCCCCCCCCCCCCTCCGTTGGGGTTCTCAGGTCACATGACACCCCCCCCACATTTCAGACTGTCAAGAGGGTGGTATGGGGGGGGGGGGGGGGCTGGTGCTTTCAGGGGAAGACAAGCTGCTCGAGCCGTCTGAAAGCACACATTATACTGCGCAGACACTTTCAGGGGGCTTTTCAGAGGAGGCTCTGCACTGCCCGCCCCGGGACTGCATTACGGGTCTCCCCGACAGGCCGTCGTCTCGTCATTCAAGCCCCAATCTTCAGAGACCGCGTCTTACAGATGTGCTAAAGATGGAAATGAATTTCGAGGATGATAAACTGTGCTTTTAAAAGCTTCTTTTGACAAGCAGGGGTGTAAAAAACACTTGAAAGGCTTCTGGAATTCTCCAGAATGTATCATGTGGGGGGGAAAAAAAACACAGTGGTGAAACGGGAACCAAGACTGAATAATGTGATGAAAGCGATGGTCCCTGTGCCCTTATCCTCAGAGCTCCTGGACTGGTATCGTCACACAATATGCTTCTCCATAGTGTGACACTCAACGTCACCACTCTGTGATTAAACAACACCGACGCCCACGCTGCTCCGCTGTACGTCTGACCGCCCGTCCTGCGGCTACGGCGTTCAAACCTGAAGGATGAGAGCCACACGTGTGCTCTCTGCCCAGAAGCCATTGTCACATCTGCGAAAGCTCATGGGCGGGCGATGAGTCACCCGGGCGGCTGAAGAGACTCCAGCACCGTGTGTCATATAAAGACAAAACTGAACACAAGCCAATCGATAAACATGCCTCTGAATCACCTGGTCCAATTCACCGTAGCATGTTTTTCAGACTGTAGGGGGAGCTAGAGGTACCCAGAGGAAACCCCTTGACAACACGGGGAGAACACGCAAACTCCATACACATGGAGCAAGAGCAGAGACTCCAACTCTGGTCCCAGAAGTGTGAGTCAACAGTGCTTAGCACTGTGCCACCGTACCGCCCACGGCAGGGAAGCCATTGTCAAAAATCATTATGCTAAGGATGAGAGCCTGGTGCATGTTAGAAATTCAGTCTTCCTGACGATGATCAGCGCATTCCAGCTGTCTCCCAGCCCCCTGCTTCACTGGACACCCCCTCCCCACCCCCCAACCTTCAGGGCTCACATTCCACTGCCCACATGACACCTGTTGTGCACATCTCTCACAGCTCATTGGTTGGGTGAGGTCACATCCACTTTCCCAGAATGCACCACTGCGGTACTCACTCCACTCTCGCATGCCTGTGTCCCCCCCCCCCCTGCTTTCCCGCTCAGTCCGGAGGCAAGCACACGTCCCGATACTGGGGCAGCACTGCTTTAGGCTAAGCTGAGGGTATAGAGATGCGGGTGTATGTTTGGATGGAGGGGTGGGGGGGGGGTTGAGAGGGATTAATCCGGCTTAAGCCAGATCGAGTTCTGGAGCACGGCTTGCAATCATAGACCACCATGCTTGAAACATCAAGACCAGAAACCCATTACAAGTAACTGCCGAGGTACTTATGACATTTACATTCACAACCATTTATGTGATGCTTATATTCAAAGCAACATGCATTTTTCAACTCACTGCGACACATGCCTCCCCCACGCAGAAGGTCCCCCTTGGACCTCATCAAGGCTTACTAGCATTTTCTTCTAAGGGCAAATCAACACGTCGCTTGAAGATAAGGTTAATGATCAAGTCTGCACAACATCAGCGATGGTGACCACAGGTCGAAAAAGTTTTCCAATCAAATGCATATTGGGGTGGGGAGGGATCATTAAGCAACTGCCCCGCAGGAATAATATAAATATGATACTGGATATAAGTCAAAAATGGAAAATACAGTCAGGGCTTCGCATCTGCGCTCACGGTGTGACTTATATTACCATCCACTGCCGCTTTCCCTCCTAATTCCTCACATAGTCGTTCATCCCACCGGGTTCCCACCCATGGCCTTCAGACATAATTTAAAACTGCACTTCCCCGCTGCTCGCCCTTCGGTGAGCCACGGCTCGGGTTAATGCCGGGTTCCGGGCACATTTAGTCAGTCCGTGTTGGGGGCTGCTCATGCTCCGCAGAACCAGCAAGGTCAACAGCAATGGGTGCATGAGGCTTTTGTTGTCAAGGGAAACTTACTGGGGGAAAGAAGGTTTCCAGAGAAAGGTGACTAAACACCAATTGCCTGACTGTACAGTCACATGCAATACATTAACTGTGAGATGGGGGGGGGGGCAGAAACAGAGCTCACATACAGAGCATGACAGCCCCCACCCCCAGAGAAGTGAACATGGACCATGGAAGCGGCATCCCACACATTCACAGCACAGGAACCCCCCTGTCCATCCCGAATGCCCCCATGATGGTCCCAACATTATTAAAAAGCTCCGCATGCATGCTCTGTGCACAGACGATGCTTTTCTTACTAAGACAGAGTTGGTGGATCTGTCTACAAGAGCAGAGCTCCGGGATGGGACATTAAGTCAAAGACCCAGAAGAAAAGACCTGCAGCATCAACTCTGGCATTAAATCACCACTGGGAATAGTCAACCATAGAGACCCCTGAATTAAATTGCATTTGGATAAAGGGAGAGGTGGAGTGAAACAGCAACACCCCCCCCCCCCCAATATAACTGAAATCTGTTTCACCAAACCAGCTGGTCCACTTTTGGAGACCATGTTCAAAATAAAACCTTCAAAACGTAAAATCTGTGATTACACTCTAGGCCCCAGATAGCAGGGGATGGACAGGGCCAAGCAGGTCCAGTTCATTTTGCTTTGGAGTAGAACAGATTCAAAAGTGACACATTGGCTTTATTAAACTGGCTAACCGTCCGATTCCTGGATCCTTGGTGATCCATCTCAGTCAACAACGCAATCAACGGCGCAATATGAAATACCTCAGAAGCAAATCTGCTGATTTAATGCGACAGACGCTGCACCGAGGCTGATGAAAGTCGCAAGAGAAGTGAGATCTGTCAAACGGAAAAATAAAGGACAGCGAGAGCGAGCAAGCGAGGGAGAGAGAATGAGAGAGGGAGGGGGGATGAGGGGGAGAGAGAGGGAAGAGTGCGAGTGGGATTGAATGAGGGAGTGAAAGAAGAAAGAGCGTAAAAAAGAAGGAAGGATAATGAGGAGGTAGAATCAGAGAATGCAATGGAGAGAGACAGAAGGAAAGTGGGGATTGAAAGATGAACACAGAGCGTGACAATAAGGAGAAAAGAGAGATAATGCAGGGAGAGAGGAGAATGAGAGTGTGGAAAGGAGGACGAGAGGGAGCAGGAGAGAGTGGGAACGTGATGGAGAGCGCTCACATCAGTTTAGGCAATCAAGACTGAGCAAATCTGACAGCCCGTCAACAAAATTAACAGCAAAGGCGTCATGCTGCCATGCACTGCTGCCCCCAGAGGCTCGGCGCGGTAAGAACACAGAGCAGTCCAGCTTTACAGCTCAGGGGAGCGCAGAGAGGGCTGGTACCCGGTGATCGTCCCACAGACACACAGGAGACAGGAGGCTCCATGCCTATAGCAGACGAATAGCACAAGCAAGGCATCATGGGAAAAAGCAGGGCCGGATAAACAGCCTCGCTTACACTAATTACGCTCAAGTATTTGGTGAAAGCTTTCTTCCATAGACTCACGTCAGTGCATGCAGAAGATGCTCTGTTGTTTCTCCAAGATCTAACCTGGGATTGAGTTTGGCTACTTATTGATTACAAATCATTTAGTAAATGTTATTGGACCCCCCACAATTCAGTTGTCTGTAATTCTGCATCCTTCTCAAATTCCTGACAGTGAGGAAACACAGAGTTGCCGGGTTCTGTTCCGATTCACCTGCAGCCTGCACCTTTTCAAACGGCCAACCAGCAGGGGCTGCGTAAGTGAGCTGAATGCTGATTGGAGGAGTGAGATAAATGTCACTGTGGCAAAAAGCAACAGGTGCCTGGCAGACAAACACAGATGCGCGGAGCAGCCAGCTGAGGGCTCTGTGACAGATTGGTCGCAGCCTCCCTCGGTGGAGCCGCGCCTAGTTTTCTGTCAGTGAAGTAGCATCTTTTGCACACGCCCTCGTGAGTCGTCCTCTCAGAGGAAGCGCTCTGCGTTTGATGGGCAGCTAGCAGGAAATGGGAAGGGAAAGCTTCATTTTCCTTTTGCGGCGCCGAACAACAGGGACTTCAGATGGGACATTTGTATCACACAAATACGCCGTGCGTGTGCTTGAGCATGGATTCTCATGTTAGCTCAAATCAAAATTTGATCATCAAAAGCATTTAAAGCTTTGCCTTGCTTGCTAATATGAAGTAGCTGAGGTACTGAACAAGATCCCCTTAACGTCTCAGAAAATACGCTGTCAGGACTTTAGTTTTAAACTAGAATATACAGATTCAAACTGTGCGAAAGATAGAAACCTGCGGATCAGTCCGTGTTTGCTTTCTGTTTCCGTCCGCTCACGTTGGCAGTGGTGCCACACGGCAGATGCATTGGGCAGCAGGTGAGCTGGCGTAGGCCGCCAACCAGCACTGTCCAGCACGGTCATGTGATCATGAGAAGAGAACCACTCGGTTACAAACATCCCAGAGGCCGAGGATGCATGGCGACAGGCTCCTGGGTATCTGGATACCGGAAACCCCCCCTCGGGATTCCTCCTCCCCCAGGGGATGAGGAGGGGATCAGCCCGAGCGCCAAACACAGCAGTTTACAAAACAGATTAACAAACTTTCAAGTCAAGTAGCCAGGAAATCCAGTCACTGCGGCCGGTCTCTCCTTCCTAACACACAGTGAACGTGCTGTATTCTTAGAATAATAATTTGCAGGCCTGTAGGTCGGCTTCACCCCAACCTCATGCCTCCCCCAAAATATCCACACCTGCCATGTGTTTCATAATTCATCCCTATCAGTTTCTATGAGGCAAAATACTGTGGAAATGAGAAGAAAACATCACAGATCTTGCCACACTGGAAGCAGAGAAAGACGGAAGAAGGTGTTTGTTACTGCAGGGATAATTAGTGATAAAAAGGGCAGAGCTTCTTAAGTCTCCACACTGTGATTCTCTGGAGCAAGTTGCGAAATCGTGGACGAACGCTCACTCTCTTCCAAAAGCGAACTGGTGAGTCTATACAAAAATAACAGTAAAGGTATTACTGCATTCTTTCTTATAGATTAGTTATAGGTTGTGTTTTGTGGGTCTGTATTTTTCATAAAACACCTGCATTTCACATGCACCTAAAACTGAGAACTGACCCTATTTTAACATATTTCCTATATGTTTATTTATCATTAGACGAACATAACTGTTCATGTATTTCATGTAATTATATTTGTTCATGATTTGTACATGAGTAGTAACTGAGTTTCTAAATTGCTTGTACCCCCCCTCAAGTAAAGTCTTACCTTCTTATCTACTCCTGGCTGTGTTCTAGTTAAAATAAAACCGTATATTACAATATATACATTACTGGCTCCTTATAATCATAATACTCCAGTTCCCATGATTCCTTGCTGCCGTGATAAGGGCAGGAGTCCAATTGATATCTGAAATGCTCAGGAGGAACCGAAGGCGTTAATTAGAGGCTGTGATCTAACATATCAACAAAGCAAACCAAAATCCAGTACAAAATCCGAACAATCTGGGTTAATGAATCATATCATTCCCCCCCAATTGTATTTCCTCACATTCTGGTACATTTTAAACTTTAAACTGAATTTTATATAAAACATATAAGAGACCAAAAGTTTCCATGGAGATTGTCAGCACACCACAATTAGTTATCATTAACTCAACCCAGAGAGCAAATCTATATATTTCAGTTAAACTGACTACTCTAAGATTAATTCTGAGGCTCTCTGTTATATTTCTAAATAGAATGAACCTTTGAAGCTGCCTTTATTTGAACAGAGATGTCAGGTTATGGTGCCGTATCCCTAGACGGCACCGAATCAGCAGCCTTCCGTATTTAAGGGCCACATTCCTGACTGGATTTAAGGCAGCAGAAGAGGGTCATTCTGCCCGCCTAAGGATCAGCAACACATCAGCCAGCTGAAGGAAACAGCCAGGCAGCAAGGGAATGCAAATTCCAACAGCTAAGAACTAAAATCTAGGGTAATGCCTGAAATGCCAGTTTTTCAAAACGGGCGTTTTAAAAACTTGAATCCTTCATAGTGAGATGAAATGTTCCAGCGACTGTCCCAGATTCCCAGATCTCTCTAACACATGCTATTTCTCAGGGTTTAATGTACTGCATTATATTTCCATAACCCCCCCCCCTCACCCCCCCTACCCCTCTATCATTCCCCCTCTCAGATACTGCTCTATGTCACATCCCCCCCCCCCACCCCCCCTACCCCTCTATCATTCCCCCTCTCAGATACTGCTCTATGTCACATGAACTGAAGGGTGCGAACCATGTTCATCATTTCTGTCAGTTGCAGTACTAGTAGTAAATTATTTTTTCTCGTTGCAAGTGCCCTTACCCAGGCCCGCACGCACCCATGGTTGGGGGAAAACACACACATGCAGGCATTTACGCAGATACACAAACACCAACAGACCCCTTCTGACAAAACGTCCAGGAGACACGAGCTGTGACGTTTGTGTTTAGTCCCCCCGGAACATCATGTCAATCAATTAATGATTATATATCATTAAAGGCAACTTAATACAAAATGCAGCAGAACAATATAAAAAGAAAAAAAAGACACGGTACCAACTGTCAAGCAAGCCTTCGGGCTCTCACAAAATAATTTACTTATAATTCTGAGTGCTTTTATTTTTTGTCTTAAAAGAACAGAATACTGAATTAACACATGGCATCAAGTTAGGTGTCTCAATCGGTGCGGTTCATCAGTTAACTATTTACTGGAGATCAAGGGTGATTACCACCTGTAGACCTTAAAGTTAAATAAAAAGCTTACTACCGCATCTCAAGTAAATCGGTATTTGGCAGTGTGTTGTCCACTGCCATGTAATTAGCAACATTTTTATAATGTATTTGTTTGTAAAGATACAATCGCGCGGTTTTTCATTTGTTCCGGCGTGTTTTGACGTGCCTACCGGGCTTGGGCGTCTCTACGTCCCATTTGGTGCATTCCAGTGCCCCGTACTGCCTGGACGATCTCCGCTCCTTTTCCATGTCTTCGCAGTTCATCGGAGTACCTGCTTACTGTGGAACTGACAAAATTTTAATGCAATAACTAAGAAACAGCAAACCTAAAAACGAAGTTGCCCGCAAATCTCCGACTTGTTAAGCACTACGTTATTGTAAAGAGAGGGCTGTCAGATGTCACGAGATCCATAATTTTCGTGGTTGCAAACAGCGCACATCGCAGGAAACGTGCAGGTGTTCATGCCAGTTGTACTGTGGCTTCGGGTGTGTGGGATATGCGACTAAGAGATTCTCCGCTAAGAGTAAAGAATGATGGGTAGTGTGACGGTGCCACCTTGTGTTAAACATGGGGACTGTCCGCATTCAGCAAAAGGAACTGCGGTAAATTTTAGGTCTAACATCTGCCCTGTATTTTTTGTACGATGGTCATGGAAACCGCTATTAATATAACTCTGGTTTGTCTTCATAATCCATAAATTGATAATCCATACATTTTCCTGTGCAGTTTATATTGATGTAAGCTTCCATGCAAAATTTGCAAAAACCCATCCATCCATCCATCCATCCATCAAACCAAAATTAGTTTATCAGTGTGCTAAAAAGAGAAATCATAATAATATATCAAAAAGTCATTCTGAATATAAGTATTAAATTCCAGAATCAGGAAGGGCCATGACACATAAACGGGTATTTTTAAAAACGTAGCTTTTTCTATGCGTTTTGGCCTCTTGTCCACACGCAAACGGTGTTTTACGTCACTGAAAATGGGGCTTTTGTAAAACCCTGTTTGGGGTGAAAATTTTCAGGAACAGGGAACTTTGGGTTGTAACGTCAGATTGCAAGAGGGTCTAGCTGCAGATACCTGTAGAGTGGAGCTCCACCGTAAATACGTCATCTCCACAAGAAACATGCAATCTTTAAGGACGTAAAGTGGAGCTCCGGTTAGGGTTAGGGTTAAGGTTAGGGTTTATTCGCTGTAACACAGAGTTGAGGTCACATGTTTCCTGTGGATTTGACATATTTCCAGTGGAGCTCCACCTCCACTCTACAGGCATCTGCAGCTGGACCCTTCTCTCAGATTGTGTGCCATTCACGGTTTACATTAGCCTAGCAGAACTGGTAATAAGGCTTCTGATTGGCCAAAATGGATTTATGGTTAGAGTTACATCACCCCCTGTTGGTTTGGCATGCGCTTGATAGGGCGTTTCAGCGTTTTCATGTGGACGATATTTAAATACCTCATATGTTTTTAACAACAGAGGAGGACAACACAACAACACAACGTTTTTAAAAACACCAGTGTACGTGTGGACAAGGCCTTAGACAAAACCAGAACCCACACCCGGGTTCATCAGCACCGCATTTGCATCTCCCCAAGTACAACAGAGTCCTGCCTATGCAGCCGCTCATCGTCAGCTGACCAAGGACCATCATCTGCTTATGCACTAACATACTGAGGAGCAGCAGATTCTGGGGTGAAAAGAAATGAACAAGCTGGAAATTTGAAAAGAGGGCTCATGTGCCCTTTCCTGTAATGTGCTAAAACACTGAAAGTAATTGAATGTCACATCAGCACACATCAGCCCAATATCCCTGGGGGAACTTAGAGCTGGTTTAGGGTATCATATCTCACGTAGGCCTGGTGAGTCAGCAACCTGGTGATATTTGGTAAAAAAAAAAAAAAGTGAAGAAATAGCTATGGGCGTAAACTAGAATTCGTGCATGAGTCAAATTTAGTTTTTTAAAGAGATACTACTACCTTACTGACAGATGAGTCCATTAAGACAGTGCTGTTACGTTTGTCCAGGTAGGCGAGCAGGAAAACAGGCGAGTAGAGCCAAGCGGACGGGTAAGCGGGGTTTATTGGCTGGATAGAAGGCACACTAGGCACAACAAACACGAAACACTACAACATCAATGACCGATCTGCGGGATAGTGGGAGACGCGGACTAATATTAGCGGGATTAACGCGAGGTAACGAGGTGGGCGTGGCACACACGAGGATCGGACGGAGCTGGGCGTGACAAGTGCATTAAAATAATATTTTTGCTAAATGAAAATGCATCGTTTAGCATCTACTCATTTTCCTTTTCTAATGCACTTCTCCAGTGAGCGAAATCAGGTCAATAGTTATTTCTTGTTTTCCGAAAACTTGTTCAAGTACTTAATTGTCGCGAGAAATGCTCCAAAGCAATCGAGAAAAACTGCGAAATTAGTGTAAATAACCGTAATATCACGTATTTCTTCTGCGTTCACCCATTATCACCAGCAGGTGGCAGTAGTGTCATACCGTGTCTTTTTCGTCATTACTATTAAAGTTTTTCTCGATTGCGTTGGAGCATTTCACAAGTGACAATTAACATTTGCGAAACAGCAAGTGTAATCCCCCACACCATAATGTCACTTTTGCACAACAGAACATCATTTCTTACTATTTCACCCAGATTTCAAAATGTTTTAGTACATGTGTGCATATGGTTTTGTACAATTATCATTTGGCACAATTTTCAGTTGCTTTCGTCTTGTTGGTTATGTAGATAGATTATGTAGTTTTCCCATTCCCAATAAACAGCCAAAGCTATATATGTTTGTCATCACCGGGTTAGTCATCACACACAAAACAGTTAACCAAGCTTTCAAAATGATTTAAAAATATATTCCTTGAATTGCAGTGTTACAGCATTGACTTTGGTATCTACAGCCCACGTTTTTGTCTTCATTTGTTGTTCGCGTGTTGCTATTTTGCTGTTATATAGTGCTGTGTGGCTTTTTTGTTTGCTATTGTGATGTTCTGAGATCTGAAGAAGTTACATGTGCATGCCGGTGTTTCTCTTGCTAGCGAACTTTACGGACCGCAGTGTAGAGTCTTGCCATGTTGAAACTGGGCATGAATAAGTTTGCTAGAGAAAAATGATCAGTCATTGACAGTGAGTAAGTGGGAACCAACTATCATTCAGAATTGTGGAGCTCAGGAGCAAAATTACACTGACATACTGACAATATATTTTAGTATTTCAACTCTCATGGTTAAAACGATGCTGATTGTACTTTTCATTTTGGTGGCACTGACTAATTTATTGGTGGAATTATTTGCTTTTGAGACACGAGTTAATTGTTTTGGGTAAGTTACAGGCTTTTACAGCTAAACCATAGTTTTGTGCTAAACACATGAACTGTTTTGAGAAATTCTCTTATAGTCGTGAGAATGTTAAGGATGTTTCATGAAATGTGCCAGAGCAGTCGAAAAAAGCTGTAACTAGAACAGCAGCTCACCCAGATGAGTGCAATTCAGTCAGTTATTATTATGCATGATTGGTCACAAACAGCGATGGAACTTCAGTTCGAATTAAATGTAGCTGAATATAATGTAACAAACAAGCTGACCCCTCTCCTGGAGCCGACACCTTATCGTGGTGGAGGGGTTTGCGTGTTCCAATGATCCCAGGAGCTAAGTTGCC